CTGGACACGAATATCCACAGAACACATACTACGTGGTGCTCCTCCGCCCCCAACACGGCGCTATGGTCACACTATGATTGCGTTTGATCGTCATTTGTATGTGTTTGGTGGGGCTGCTGATTCTACTCTTCCTAATGACCTGCACTGGTATGTTATTCTTTTGGTGTAGTTGAACTGTGAGGATGATTTATCAGTCTGTCTGTCTATCACATTTAGTAATGAATTTATGGCCTTTTTATTATATTGCTTGTATATCATAATAATGTAGGTATAATAAGGATTACTAGTTTGGTCACAATTCAGCAGTTGACAAATATTTAGCTTTTTATAAAGTATTAGCTGCTGCCAGAGTTGTAAATTAACAAAATACATTTGCTTCTGTACTGTACGCAAGTAACATTTTTGGGTATGTACTTTTTAAAAAGTACTAAAAATTTTTACTTCTTATACTTTTACTTAAGTATGGTTTTCTAATACTTTTACTCCGATACAATTGAAAAAAAATCGTTATTCATTACATGCCCCAACAAACAAATAAACAAAATCTAAAAATATATTTTTAATTAATTAATTATTTATTTATTTATTTATTTATTTATTAACCGTAGTAAAAGAGTTGTGTGGGTGGAGGGTAGGGTGTGGGTGGACCTGTGAAGGGTACAGTGTGAGTGTGGGGAGACACCGCACGATCACATACCTAGAGGTCTTGTGAGGTGAGGTGAGGTGAAGTCAGGTCAGGTCAGGTGGCAGTAGCCATAATAGTGGACTTTCCCTTTGATCTTCTTGTGTCCATTAGCCCCTTAACCACCCACCTCACCTAGCCTACCCTATATTATCCCACCCTCCCCCCATTGAGTCCCCTCTCTTCTCCCCCACCTTTCCATTTCATGTCAGTTTTAGCTCATATCTATGGAATAAGATGACTCCCCAAACTACCAAACCACCTGTGGTAAAGTTTAGGTCAATGACCACCAATACGGTGAATTGTTTAATGTATTTAATACTTTGAATTTTTAATGTAGTACCAGTAAATCATTTGAATTATGCTATCAGAGAGGCAAAACAAAGCCTAAAATAAAATTCCCACCAGGTTTTTTGTACATTTTCATGAAAAAGAATGGATGAATGAGGATGGTGTAAAATTGTGGATAGACAATGTGTGGAACAGGCGGCCAGGTGGTATGCGCAAGGAATGCAGTTGTTGGTCTGGGATATGTTTCAGTCATGTAACTGAAAATATAAAAACTCAATTAGCACGAAATAAAACTGAGATTGCTGTAATAACTGGTGGTTTGACTTCTGTACTGCAACCACTGGACGTTTGCCTGAACAAGTCATTTAAAGATCATGTGTGTGAAGAATGGAATAATTGGATGATGGATGGTGAAAAATCCTTTAAAATAAGTGGGACTATGCATGCTTCATCACTTGATGTGCTGTGTGATTTCGTGATCAAAGCATGGGGTGAAGTGAAAGTTGAGACTGTAATAAAATCTTTCAAAAAGTGTGGTACTGTATCTCTAATGCAATGGATGGTACGGAGGATGATTTGTTGTGGGACACTAACGATGAAGCCGACGCACCAAATTCGGACTGGGATCCCTATGACGACAACGTAAACAATGAGACTCAGGGTGTGTATGACGAGCTCTTTGCTTCAGACGATTCTAGTGAGTTTGATGGATTTTAAATGTTTGTGATGTTCATTATTTAATTTTTTTTATTTTGCAAAGCTTTCATTGGTTTAACACCATATTGGTACAGTGATCCCTCGGTTAACGAACTCCTCGGTTAACAAAATTTCGGTTAACGAATTACCTTCCATAAGAATATTCAATTCGGTTTTAACGAAAAAAATTCGGTTAACGAATTCCTTGCGAATTTTTCCCAACATGTTTTCGCCTGCTTTCGCCTGCTCACCAGCTGTAGTACAGTCGGCCCTTAACATACGCGGGGGTTACGTAACAGAGATACCCGTGGATGTTAAAAATCCGCGTATATGTGCCCCCCCCCCCCATGTCCTTATTTACCGTATATACCTGTGTGTAGTTCAAGTTTTTAAGACCAAATTATTTGGCAAAAAATTGGGGGTCGACCTCTAAATGGGTAATAGTTTCGTTAGGTTGAAAAATATTTACCAGAAACTACCAGTAAACAATGGAAACGACGCACCACCAGCTGTGAGTGTCGGTACAGTTGCCAGGGCAGATCTCTTGAGTCATCATAGCAAGCCCAAAGTAGCCAAATCCATGGTATGGTAGCACAGGACGATGTAAAACAAAGTATTCATTTATTAAAGTTTATTTATAGATACTGTACATAAATTTTTGTTCATTACATTTGAAACATCAATCTTTGTTAATTAAATTTGAAACAAAAGAAAACTACGATACCGTATTTTCATTAAAATATTACATCACAAGTATATATTACCTTAACTGTGACTGAATGAATATAGGTATTCTCAGAAATAAATATGGAAATATAATATTTTTGCTGGAATGACGTACATATTACAGTGGAAAGTGGGATAAAATCATGACGAAAACAATGACTTTCGCTTTCTTTCGTTATTCAAAAGATTTTACCGTAATCGCTTTTCGAATGGTTTTCAGTTAAAAAGCTGTTGTACTCGTACTGTATTACAATAATATTCTATCCTATCATTAGGCTTATAATCCCACAACTGAAAACCATTCGAAAAGCGATTACGGTAACATCTTTTGAACGAAAGAAAGAGAAAGTCATTGCTTTCATCACAATTTTATCCCACTTTCCACTGTAATACGTACATCATTTCAGCAAAAATATTACATTTCCATGTTCTCAGAAATAAATGGTAGTTTTGTTGAAACGTAATGTACAATATTTAATATTAAAATGCAAAAATAGCTATAAAAACAATTAATACACCCGTAATGTACTGGCTGGCATCTCCACTCGTCCCTGCTCCCGCGTCCAAGGTCACCACTCCTCCCAACTCGCTCCCTCCTCCACCTCCTCACCATCACTACTGCCGACAACGAACACAAATGTTTTATGAATAACTGCACCTCCACTTCCTATGTACAGTACTGAACTGTACTGTGCTGTGCATTTTTACAAACAATAAACATGACAAGAAAAGCTTTTAAAAAAAAAGAGATAAAAATTTCACTTTACTGTAAACTGTACAGTACCTATCCTCGGCGACAGGACGGGGGTCATCGGGCTCATCGTCAATCAATTCCATAACGGGTGGTGAAGTGGGGGCGACGGTGGATTCAGCCGCTTCCTCACTGCCGCCAGTGATTGATGGTGTTAAATCTCTCCTTCGGTGATCAAAGAACATGGTGATGGGGAGTTGTCGTCTCTTTCTTTCATTTCTTCCATGATGTTTTTGTATGGAGCGAAAACGTCATCCATCCCTCACATGAATTTCAGGACATGCACCATGGAGGGGTCCATACTATAGGCCAGGTTTTTCAGTGCCTCAATATTCCTGGTCATCTCCCCCAACTTCTCCAATGTTATTTCTTGGTGCTCTTCCTCATCCTCTTTCCATTTCACTTCCTTTTCCTTGCCTGAGTCTACTAACTCCTGTAGATCCTCCTCGGTCAGCTCAGTGTCGTGTTCTTCAATTAGCTCCCTAATCTCGTCCTCTGCCATGTCCTGGAAGCCTTCAGCAGCCACTTTCCTTGACAGTGCCAGGGTCTTTCTGAATATTTTCATTAAAATCCATCAAAATCATTTTCCTTGTCATCGTCTTAAGCACCAAACAACTCCTCCCAGTCTTCTCCTTGAACAGGGCTAGAGGGTACGTGTTTTTCGAATCTTTTTCAATTAAAAAAATGTTACAGCACATGTATATTTTACCTAAACTGTGCCTGAATGAATATATTTTCAGAAATAAATAGTAATTTTGCTGAAACGTGATGTATTTCAATGTAAAATAGGATAAAATACATGACGAAAACAAAAGACTTTACCTAACCTTCCAATGTTCAAGAGATGTTACTCGTTTTTTAATAGTTTTCGGTTAAAATACTGTTTTATTACAATAATATTATATTCATACTGTGCTTGATATACCACATTCACGGAAATGTAATATTTTTGCTGAAATGACGTACGTATTACAGTGGAAAGTGGGATAAAATCGTGACGAAAACAATGACTTTCGCTTTCTTTCGTTCAAAAGATGTTACCGTAATCGCTTTTTGAATGGTTTTCAGTTAAAAAAACTGTTGCATCACAAGTGAATTAGGATAGAATATTATTGTAATACAACAGTTTTTTAACTGAAAACCATTCGAAAAGCGATTACGGTAACATCTTTTGAACGAAAGAAAGCGAGTCATTGCTTTCGTCACCTTCCACTGTACAATACGTAAGTCATTTCAGCAAAATATTACATTTCCATATTCTCAGAAATAAATAGTAGTTTTGCTGAAACGTAATGCATTTCAATGTAAATTAGGATAAACTACATGAAAACAAAAGACTTTACCTAACTTTCCGATGTTCAAGATATGTTACTCGTTTTTTTAGTAGTTTTCGGTTAAAATACTCTTATATTAGTGATAGTCTATTCATACTGTGCTTGATATAATACATTCACGGAAATGTAATATTTTTGCAACTACAATGCTGATGTCAACACAAGCGTGGTTACAGCGAGACTGACTGAGTGAGGGAGAGCTATGCGTGTGTGTGAGGTTGCGGGAGCGGGCGGTGTCCCGTGTTCAGTGCCGCGCGCGAGTTGAATGGCGCGCGATTTGAATGTACTTCAATTACTTCAATGTACAGAATATTCCTCCGGCGGGCCAATCCACGTACAGTGGGGTATGCTATAACGAATCTAATTGGTTCTAGAACCTTGTTCGTTATAGCATTCGTTCGTTATAGGATTAATCCGTTCCAGGCCCCCAAATACAACCACTTAACACTGAAAAATATAATATAAAATTGTAAAAATTGTAAAAAAGTGCATAAATATGCATCTAAACCCCTGAAATAAAGAATATCATTAACATTTGTAATAAAAAACAATAAATAAAAAAAAAAAAAAATTAAATAATGTTCGTTGTAGGAGTTTCGTTTGTTATAGCATTCTCAATTTTATAGGTAAAACCGTTCGTTATAGGAATATTCGTAGTAGGGTCCGT